CCTAGCGATTATAATATCTACATAATTTAATTTTAAAAGGAGAAAATTTCTCTCTCAAAACGACAGCATCGAAGACTCAATTTCATCGAAGTTTCTTTCACAATTTCATTTTTATTTTATTTTTCATTTCATTTAATCGTCGCGCCTCCACTAAATACAATAGCCGCGTTTAACACTCTCCTGTATATTTTTCAAGACATTAGTCTGAGCTGTTTAATAGTTTATGCACACTCAAATTAAAAATTCGTGGAGATATTCGAGTTCCATTCGAACGAAACAGACTTTTCACAATGCTTCTGCGACGCTTCATTATATTTTCGTTATAATTTTAGCTGGAGAAGTCTGTATTTTACGTAGAAGACAATTTCTATTTAAATAGTTCGACCAGTTTAAGTGAATCGAAAGTTCTTTAGAAACAAGGGCACGAATAAGATGCAATCGACGACATCCCGATGACAAGATAACGAACTTTGCGTTAGAAGGCGACCGCTCCAATTTCGAATTTTAGCGCAGCCTTATCTGCGCCCTCTTTCACGGTGCATCGCGCGGAGGCTTGCAGCGGGAGACGGTGCGCAATGAAAAAGAAAATCGCCGGGACACGGGGTCACGAAGATGCACCGCGGTAAAAAGGAGGAGGCTCTTTCTCTCGCGAGTCAGATCGGAAATCGCGCGGTTGAATGTGCGACGCTTATAAACTCGCTCGCGTAATTCCGCCGCGGAAAAAAGCCGGGGCAGTCAGAGAGAGAGAGAGAGAGAGAGAGAGAGAGAGAGAGAGAGAGAGAAAGGAACTGGGAGAGGTAAAGCGAGAAAAATGGTAAGAAAATGAGAGAAAGATGGTAATAAATTCGGAGAAATAACGAGAGCATTGAGGAAAGGGAGTGAGAGTGTGAGAGATTGGAAGAAAGAGGGGAAGAGAAAGGGGTTGGGAAAAGTAGGGTAAGGAAACGAATAAAGAAGTGAGAGAGAATGAGAGAAAAAGAAGTGTGAGACAGAGAGAAAGAACAGGAAAGATTGGAAGTAAGAGATTGAGAGGAAGAGAGTAAAAAAGATGGAGTAAGAGAAGTAGATTATGGTTTAAGAAAGAGAGAGTGAGAGAAAGAGATCAAAGAAAAGAAAGCGTGAAAAAGAGAGTGAGGGGAAAAGAGGAAAAATGAGAGCGGGAGAAAGAGAGCAAGAAAATAGAGTGAGAGAAAGAGAGCAAGAAAATAGAGTGAGAGAAAGAGAGTGAGAACGAGATCAAAAAATTGTGAAAATAGAGCAGAAAATTGGGAAAAAGAAGAGCAAGAGATTGAGGAAAATAGAGCAAGAAAAAGAGAGTGAGAGCAAGATAAAAAATAGAGAAAATAGAGCAGAAAATGGAGAAAAAGAAGAGCAAAATATTGAGGAAAATAGAGCAAGAAAAAGAGAGTGAGAGCAAGATCAAAAAATAGAGAAAATAGAGCAGAAAATGGAGAAAAAGAAGAGCAAAATATTGAGGAAAATAGAGCAAGAAAAAGAGAGTGAGAGCAAGATCAAAAAATAGAGAAAATAGAGCAGAAAATGGAGAAAAAGAAGAGCAAAATATTGAGGAAAATAGAGCAAGAAAAAGAGAGTGAGAGCAAGATCAAAAAATAGAGAAAATAGAGCAGAAAGTTGAGAAAAATAAGAGCAAAATATTCAGGAAAATAGAGCAAGAAAAAGAGAGTGAGAGCAAGATCAAAAAATAGAGAAAATAGAGCAGAAAATGTAGAAAAAGAAGAACAAGAGATTGAGGAAAAGAGAGCAAGAAAAAGAGAGTGAGAGCTAGATCAAAAATAGAGAAAATAGAGCAGAAAGTTGAGAAAAAGAAGAGCAAAATATTGAGGAAAATAGAGCAAGAAAAAGAGAGTGAGAGCAAGATCAAAACATTGAGAAAATAGAGCAGAAAATTGAGAAAAAGGAAACCAAGAGATCAAGGAAAATAGAGTAAAGAAATTGGGGAGAGGGGAGTAAAAGAGTGCGGAACGAGAGTAAAGGATCGTGAGAAGTAGAGCAAGGGAAGGATAGCGAAAGAGTGTAAGAGAGAAAGCGCGGAGCCGAAAGTGGCGACTCAGAGACACTCTGCGCACGGGATCCCCGCGGAACCGGCACGGCGAACTTTTCAATTTTATCTGGCTCTCATCTATTCATGACTCGCCGGTTTCGTGTCCCGGCATTCTTTCACGGGATTCCCGTGGAAAAGCCGGGCCCGCGCGAATCCGCCCCGAGAGCCTCCGACAACAATCCACAGCGCGGACGCCTTCCGCTTTCCGCCGGAAGTCCGATAAGTGTAATTTTCGGGGACCCTGGCTGCGCACCCACTTACCAGGGAAAACTTCTCCCGCGTTTATTGGAAGTTACGGTACGCGTCTTTCCAGGATCCTACGCGTCGAAGTATCGGCCAGCTTACTATACCAATGAACACCCTCTCCTGTTTAGGGCGGCTCTCTTCGTCGATGTTTAAATCGTTGCAAGTCCGTGAAAAATGATCGTACAGCGATGAATCTGGACTCGTTTTAAAGCTTCAAGCTTCTACTTTCGAAATCCGGTATTGATTTTAATCCATGATTTTTTTCAACGATATGGCGGAACGATAACTCGGGATCCTTTTTGCGCCAAAAATGGTACAAATTGAAACGTCCCTGAAATCATTGAAAAATTTTTCTCGGGATTGAATCTATAATAGATTTATAGATTGAAATATCCCCTTTGCAACGACGCCTTAAAGCTTGATCTACGATTTTTTGCCGCGGTTTTATGGGACAGAAATCAGGGACGAGTTCAGGCATGTGAAATCATGGGTTGCTACAAACTAGGTGATATATCTTCCCATTGAAACGTCGGTAATGTAACTGGAAAAAATCGTAGATCAATTCTGAAGAGGTCGTTGGAAAGAGGAAGCTTCGATCTTCAAATCTATCGTAGTTTCATCGAGGAGAAAAATTTTTTCATGAAGTTATAGCAGCTTAAATATCGACAATTTGTTGAAGATCTGGAAACTGTTCGAACACATATCTTTTTAAACAAACGTGTATCCTTGCGATTAATAAAAATCTGTAGCATTAAAATATCTTCCACCGAAATCTACCAGGTGGCCAGATACGTTCAAACTCATATTTCTCTCGTTTATCAACGCGTATTCGGCCGAAACGAATACATACGAGGGCAAACCGTGCAGCAAACTTTTGCATACACGTGACATTAGGTTCGGCCGGAGAGTTCGGTCGTTTTTTTCGGGGAAAGTTTTCTCGCAGCTTTTAACAATGTTTCGAATGTTTCTTTTGAATCCCCATTTGGCCCGACTTTTATTATCCCGGGCTGAGTTATAAAAGTAATGCGGCTGCGGGCGGCCGTCATTGGTTTATCGTTAAAAGTTGAACAGTAAACATGTCCGTGAGCGAGCCGTATTTGTGGCACTGCGCGGAAACCGGGAACGAAGCCGGGCTGCGATTTTAATGGGAGCACGAACGATTTTTACGCGGATTTTCCAATCCCCATAAAAGCTGGAGCAAGCCGTCAATTATTCGAATGAGAGAACGTGACAAAATCGAGCAAAACCGCGAGTTGCCGAATCAAATAGACCCGCGGATTTAAGTAGAAATTTCTGAATTGTTTCTTGCGGAGATTTGATCGGCGATTCGAATGGATTTTTATTGTGATTCGATTGAAGAAACGTTGAGTTATTTTTTACAGTAATTTAATTATAAATCTGAATTTGTTCCCACAGTGATCAGAAATTTTTAATCGCAATAAATTTCTAATAGAAATCTAGATTCCAATTAATTTCAAATCGGCGTGAAATTGATGCGATTTAAACCGAGCTCTCAATTTTTCTAATATCTCCAGTGTTTCGCCCACTTTCGTCACGAACCCATATAAAATCCGCGGTCCGATAACAATGGACTTTCAAAAAGAAGTTTGCGCCCAAATCGAGTTCGAATCGTGGCGCACGCATAGTCCGACTGTCGCGCGACATGATCGCATTGTCCATGAATCCTGAAAACGTCGCGTGTAATAAAAAATACCGAGCCGTGCTCGTTGAACGAACATTTTCCAACGGAATCTAACAGCAAGTTCGCAATTGATTTTCCAGGCAACCATCGCCAGGATCCGGCACCACCGGCACGTCGACGGTGTCCTCGAACGGGCCCGACCCCGAGAATGGCCAGAGCATCAGTTTGTACCCGGTGGGCAGTTCGGGGCCTTCGCAAGTGGAACCAGTGCCGGTCACGCCGGTCACGACCACAGCAACGATGTCAATGGTCACCCCTGGCACCGTTGCTGGCTCGGGGTCCGGTCCCAATATCAGCAGAAGCGTGTCAGTACCCTCCGCTCCTAAACCGCACGTCCAGGTCACCAGCTCTGCCAGCACTCCCGGCTCCCAGAGACCCAGGCTGAGGAGGAACATGAGTCGGACGGAAGCTATCAGGAAGTATGCGGGCCCTAATTGCTTCTACAAAATTTATGTTATTTTATTTTACTTTATTTTACTTTATTTTACTTTATTTTACTTTATTTTACTTTATTTTACTTTATTTTACTTTACTTTATTTTCTTTTATTTTCTTTTATTTTACTTTATTTTCTTTTCTTTTATTTTATTTTACTTTATTTGATTTTCTTTTGTTTTAGTTTAATTTCTTTTCTTTTCTTTTATTTTACAATATTTTCTTTTCTTTTCTTTTCTTTTCCTTTCTTTTTCTTTCTTTTCCTTTCTTTTCCTTTCTTTTCCTTTATTTTCCTTTCTTTTCTTCTCTTTCCTTTTCTTTTCTTTTACTTCATTTCATTTATTCATATAATTGCTTTATTTAATTAGCGTTTAATTCACGAATTTGACAGCAAAAATATGATAATAGAAATATCGAACACAGAACATTGACGAACAGAACCGTCGTTGCTTATTAGCGCTATAATTGCATATCAAAAAGCGCTAAAATTACGAATAATTAAAAATTGCCAAGTAACTGAACAAAAATTCGGAAAAATTAGCGCACTCTCGGTTACCGCGATTTCTAACCGTTCGATCGACCGTTGCAGTTACATCAAACGCGAAACCGCGCAATTCTTCGGCGTGGACGAGGAGTCTGAGACCGCCGAGAGACAAAGATGGCTGGACCGAAGACGGAGAATGGCGTCCAGGAAATACGGCGCCCTTGTTCCGGAACACAGACCGCCGGATCCTGATATTACAAGGGACGTGCCAGATACCACGGATGTGCCAGAGGTAAGCTCGCCGGTTATTAACCTTTCGAGCATGATGAGCCGCCGTGTTTGACAAACCGCCGGAAGTCACATTCCCGGCCGAGCTTAATTCCGGGCACTTAATTATTGTTTATTTGCTCTCGCCGTTCGCGCGGACACGCGGGCCGCCCTTTTCTTCGACGCGTTCGTTGCCGTCGTTCGCGGTTCCTGCGCCACACGTCAATTTATGACGGCCGACGGAATTGTATTATTGAAAATTTAACAACGAATTATTGGGTTGGCAACTAAGTAATTGCCGATTTCAGTTATAGATGTCTCTCGCTCTCATTTTTATGATATCCGTAAATGTTATATTATAAAATTATTATTATTATTATTATGTTATTTTTTATTATCCGTGAATGTTAGCAACTGGACAAATTGAATGCAGCGGTCAAGGAAAAGCGACTAGAATTGGTCGATCGTAAAAGTGTCATTTTCCAACAGGACAATGCTAGGCCGCGCACGTCTTTGTCCACTCGGCAAAAATTGATGGATATTGGTTGGGAATCGATGTTACACCCACCGTATAGCCCTGATCTCGCGCCATCGGATTACCACTTATTTCGATCCCTGGACAACTCCCTTCGTGGTAAAACTTTTAACGATGACGACGCTGTGAAATCTCACTTAACTCAGTTTTTGGCCGAAAAGGATCAGACTTTCTACGAGCGTGGAATTTTCAAGTTGTCAGAGAGACGGCAAAAGGTCATCGAACAAAATGGAAAATACATTACAGATTAAACTTCGTT